CCACACTCCCTGCCATCACTGTAAGCCCCAAATAAACGCTTCTGTCTTAAGTTGTCAAGGTGTTGTATCACAGCAACAGAAAATTAACCGAGACAGAGAGATTGTGTGAGGTTGGAGGAACATGTTTCTTAAGGAGGCTCTTAGTCTGGGCCTGGTTTTTAAATTTTGTGTTGCGTGTATGTTTATTTCCATGTGTGTGCACATGGGTGTGCATGTGTGTGGAACCAGAGGTTGATGTCAGCCATCGTCCTCTTTTCTCTCCACCTTATATTTTTGAGACAAGGTCTCTTACTGAACTTTGAGTTCACTAATTTGCTAGGCTGCTTGTCTATCAAACCTTAAGCCTCCCCATGTCCTTTGCCTCCCAGTACTGGGGTTACAGCTACAGTCTCTGGGCCTGGCTTTACATGGGCCCTGGGGATGAAATTCAGGCCTTATCTTTGCAAGGCAAACCCTTTACCAGCTAAGCCATCCTCCCAGCCCTGGGATTTATCGGAAGATACATTTTAAAGACCCAGCTCCATCTCTGTAGTGAGCACCATCCTGTCCACATCCCCTTGCCCTGCTGGATGAGGCATCATTTTCCTGTGCCTCCCTGATCTCCTCCACGGATCCAGGTACCTCACACATTGGGCTCCGCGGCATCTCACTTTCCTGTGGGCCAGAGGTTGGAGTGTCACTTGGGGTCACGTGGGGTTATTTCTCTTCACAGTGTGGTGCCCGGTGTGCAGTCTTCTGTGAAAGCCCCTCTAGGAAGGAACTGACTCCAGGTTCCTGTGTGGCCACCACCAGGAGTCAGGGTTTTTCTAATTTGTGCCATTGGGGTTTCTTGACCATTTAAGACAACACATGAGGGGTGCAAGGGAGAGAATAGGGGGAAGAAGGCAGAGAGAGATGTGTGCAGGGAAGGGAGATGGAGCCCATACTTAGAAGACAGAAATCCTCATGACTTTATCTTGGGGTTATTACACCCTGGTGACCCTTCATCCTCTACTTTTAAGAAGTGCCAGACTCTGCTGTGGGCAGAAGAGCACCGGGCCCTGTGCTCTGGAGACGAGGGGCAGATGTGGAGGGAAGTGAACCCCTGTGGCAGTGTCTGGCTGTGCCACCTCCCACTTTTTCTCTCAATCATCAGGTTCTAGGTATGGAGCCATTCTCTCCCCTTACTTTATAATCCTGTGCTTAGCCAGGTGTGCTGACACACCTTTAATCCCAGCACTCAGGAGGCAGAGGCAGGCAGATCTCTGAGTTCAGGTCAGCCTGGTCTGCAGAGTGAGCTCTAGGACAGCCAGGGCTACACAAAGAAACCTGTCTGGAAAACAAAACATGAAACAAACGGTCCTGTGCTTCATCCGGCCGGCGGTCCCCTCTTCAGCCAGTTTCTGTCTCCTGGGGGCACACTTGTATTAGCAAGGAGACTGTTTCTCTGGCCACTGCCATCATGGCTGATTTTCAGTTACTCAGCTGCCATGAATCCTTTATTCCCTCCCTCATTCAGGTTTTTCCACATGTCTTCTTTCTAGGCTGAGGATTGTCCTTCCTTCCTACTTACAAGGAAGTAAGATTTCTTCCTTTCCTTATTTATTTTTCTTCTTTTTAGACAGGGTCTCTGTGGTGCTAGCTGTCCTGAAACTCATTATGTAGTTCAGGGGTGGCCCCAGACTCATGAGCCTCAGGCCACAAGCACTAGTTGGCCCTTGAGGGGTTTGCCTGTCCCCACCTCTCATCCTACCCTAGGATTATAGAAATGCACCTGTTATGCCCAGATCATGGAGTTCCCCAAAAACTGACTAGGAGACCGAGTCCTGTATGTCAAAGCAAAGAGCCTTTATTCAAGCTGAAGCTTGGACTCTGTCTGACACAGCGGTTGAGAGCAGGAGTCCAGCCCAGTCATAGTCAGAGGTTTTTTTTTTTTTAATCATAGTAGAAGTTGGGGTGAGGGGATTTCCAGGGTTCAGGACCTCAATTGGCTGACATTTGTCGAGGGGTCTTGGCAAAAGGAGAATACGTGAGTCCAGGTCAGAAACATCTGATGGTTTTATCTAATCTTATCTAATGGTTGGAATGTCAGGTACTTTCCTATAGATGCTGACCCTCCCTGGGTGGTGTCAGCTTATGGTTGGAACCTGGTGCTTCCTGCCATGGCAGTTGTGGGCAGCTGTGCAGCCTGGGGCCCACATACCCACTTTCTTCTGTGGGTCCTGGAGGTCTGAACTCAGGCCCTCACTCTTGAAAGGCAAGTGTTTTCCTATTGATCTGTCTCCAGGCTGCTGTGCACACATTTTGGGTGAGTGTGTCTGCAGACCCTGCAGGATTTATTTGTAATAATCTCGCCGTGCTCCTGACGAGAGTCAGGGATGGCTCTGAGCCACAGCTGTGTGGACATGGGATTACCAAGGTGGAACTCAGAGAGTGAAGAAACTGCTGCTGGCGGTGGGTGAATGCATGAGCCTAGCAGAGCTGAGCAGCGAGGAGCCCTAAGGAACAGCACGTGTAGCTGTGCCAAATGAGTCAGCTGTCTTGGGGGATTCCATCCTAGTGTCAAACTGCCTGTGGAAGACACAACACACCTTCCAGGAGTTTGGGTTAGGAAGGAACCCTTCTTTCTTCAGCTGTCTTTATCAAGGGCTCCCAACCCTCAGGGGATGTGGCTACAGAGGGCGCCTGATTTGTCTTAAGCCTTGATTTTCATCAACTCTGTGTCTGCCACAGATGCCGCAAGCAAGGTTATCATTTTCGTCGTGTTTCCCACCGAGTCTCTGGCAACTGAAGAACCGCACACAAACCACAACCAGCACACACCAGTGATAGTTAAATACTATTGTTTCTTCTTATTTTAGATAAGATTCAGCCCACGCTGTCCTTAAGGTTGTGATTTCCTCCCGGCTCAGGCATCTAAGAGCTGGGATCATAGGTGTGTGCCACTTTGATGGTTAGCATTTAAAAAAAAAATTGTGTGTGTGTGTCCCCAAGGAGGCCAGAAGAAGGTATTGAATCCCCTCCCCTGGAGCTGGAGTTACAGGTGGTTGTGAGCCACCTGATGTAGGTGTAATGGTTTAAGTAAAATGCAGGTCCCCAACGAAGGCACCACGAAGGCAGCTGGGTCCTAGGCAGAAAGCTTGGTGGGTGACAGGAAAGGGGGTGGGCGTGGCTTGTCTCCTAACGGGACAGGACATACCATTGCAGTAGGTACTTTGAACTGAATTTAAGTGCTCTTAACCACTGAGTCAAATAACTTTTCAACCTTGTGAACATGGCTCTTTTTGTTTCTTTCTTTTTTATTTTTCTTTTTTAAGACAGGGTTTCTCTGTGCAGCTCTGACTGTTCTGGAACTCACTCTGTAGACCAGGTTGGCCTTGAACTCAGAGATCCACCTACCTCTGCCTCCCAAGTATTGGGATTAAAGGCATGCGCCATCATGCCAGACTGTGAACATATAGCTCTTTAAGGGTGGCAAATAGTGATTCGAACACAGTTCTAAAAAGATGAGTATGTGGGGTGGGGAAGCCAGTGGATGGCTCAGCTGATAATTCCAGAACCCATGTAAAGAAGCCAGGCATAGTGGCACATGCCTGTAATTCCAGCACTGGGGAGGCAGAGACAGCTGGATCCCTGGGATCACTGGTCAGCTGACCTGCCTACTTAATAAGCTCTGGGCTAGTGGGGGTGTTTGGTTGGAAGCATCACCCCAGCTGCTGACACCCCTATACCCAAAGAGTCTGGAATGTTTGGTTGGGGCTTCATCCCAGCCCCTGGCATCCATTTTGGAATGCTTGGGTGGAAAGTTCCATTTCAAGCCCCCTCCCCTGGGAGTTACCTCAGTCTGAAGGAGATGTCTAAACCGGCCGTGGTTTCCAGGGGATTCCCGTACCTTCCTCCTCTGACCTGCTCCTTCCTGCTCCCTCCACAGACAGCTGAAGAGAATGTGGTCCCATTTCTGTTCTCATGGCAGCAGTGCATGTGACAGCCATGCCAGGTACTCACCTGGCTGCAGGAACTTGGCTAATGTGTGGACATTAGCTCTGTCCCCGTAGCGCTGCCCTTTGTCCCCGCACACCAGTGTCACACCAGTCCTTTTCCTTGTTGCTGGGTCACACATGGCTCAGCAATCTGAGAGTATTGCTCTGGTGTCTATGTGCTCAAGGGCTCAGGTGGGTCCCTGTGTGTCTGTCCTTGTCCCTCTCTGCTGGCCCAGGATGGTGTGTGGGGGCTGTGCTTCTGTACCCCTGGGAGTGCTATGCTTAAGCTCAGTGTGCAGGCCTTCTTAGCAGGGGAGGGGCTAACGACCTGAGATGAGAATTTCCCAGTTCAGTAGATGTGTGGAGATGGGTCACATACACATCTGTTGCCTTGTGAAGCAAAACTGAGAAGCATATAATTACATTCACATAGGACAAGTTTATTAGTAGTGATTCTGCCAGTTGTTCCATCTTCCTCCACATCTACCAAAAGCAAAAGGTGTAGCTGGGTGGCCAGCTGCCTCTGGCTACTAGCATGGTGTCAACAGACCTTGGTGACTATTGTTACAGTAAGTTCTTTGTGCTGTCCCTTATATGCATGGAAATGGGTTTCATAGGCTGAACCTAGGACTTAAAAATGGCACCCACCTCTGTGTGAGAATGCTTGGGCATATCTTTGTTGGCTGCAGAATGGTCCCCTCCAACTCAAGATGCCCAGGAAGGGCAGAGGAGAGCGTAGTTGTCATCCCTGGTGGGGTGATCAGGGCAGAATTCATCTTCCTGAATATTGGTTAGCAGGCATTCCTGGAGATTCAGTGCCTGGGAAACCAGGTATTGGGCCTCTCTAGCCATTTGGGAGTGAAGTTCTGAGCTCTAAGGATTGGTGCCTGGTAAGGCCTACTCAAGAGACAGCAGCGTGTCTGTCCCTTCACTGTGACAACAGGTGCTCTTTCCATAAGCAAACCTAATGTATTGGGAGCCAGCAGTGGGACATGATCCCTAAGTTACATTTGGTAAAATGCACATCTGGATGGATTACAGGAGGCAGCTGTCCAGCTCTGTCTGTCATCTCTGCTCTTGGGACCCTAAGGTGATTGGTTAGCAATGTCCTCACGTGATTCCTGGATTCCTGGGACTCAGAATGAATGCCAGGCAGCCGTCACCCTGCCCAGTTTCTCCAGTCCATGTTTGCCTGCAGCCGAGAAGGTACTGCATTTCCTTTCTGTGTGAGGCCCTGAGCTGGGACAGCTCCATCCCAGCCCAGACACACAACAGACACGAAATAAGCCTCTCCATGTGGCTGTGACATAATGGTGTATTCCTTGTTCCTTCCTGGCTGTGATATTCACCTCGGAGCTCTGCCCTGACCTCTCAAGGGCAGTTGTGGCCTAGGCCCTTTGAGGCGTGCCCAGAGCCCCAACTTCTTTATCCACAGCCCTGGGATTCCCAGCTGAGCCCTGGGTAGGGGGTCCTAGTGTCTGTGCTGCTGAAAAGTGGGTACCCTGTGTAGTGTTAGCAGCTAGACCCCATGACAGGATCTGTGTCAGCAGGCATGGACTTGTTCCTGTTTTCAACTCAGCTGAGTTTGGCCATCCCAAACAACCACAGAGCTGGGGCCAAGTCACATGTCCATCCCAGGCTCCTGGCACTTTCTTTTGGCTCCTCTGGCCTGGCTCCCCAGTGCCCCTCCCCGCCTCCCATGCCCTAGAGAGATGTAGGTGGCGAGGTATTGGGTAATGCTTGTCAGTGAAAAGGCTTCTGGTGACCAACAACTCCGTATCAGGACGCTAGACGTCACTTTCTGCTCAGTGGAGCATGTCCTTCTAATCGCAGCAAGCTGTGGCCATTAGCTTACCACCAGGGCCTAGCTTACCTGGCTCACTGCTTGGGGCCCTTTTCCTGGCACAGCCTTTTTTCCCAGTGGCGCTGAAAGGTCTTGTGCTGGTCTCAGAGGCACAAAGAGCTGAGTTTGTCCTTGAGTCAGGGTGCTAGCTAATTTGTAACTTGTTTCTTCTCAGCTCTCCTTGCCCTCCATCACTACAGAGTTCAGAGTTAGCTGTCCTATGTTAACTTTCCTTCCAAAGCAGAGCCCTGCTTTCCCCGAAAATGCTCTGAGTGTGTTCTGCTAGCTCAGTCTCCTTACTGCCCATGGCTCTAGAGGACTGGCAGCAGACTGTGATTCGGGAGCCGGAGGTTCTTCTGTCTTCCCTGTACAGCTGCCAGTCTCAGCTCCAGACAGAAGGGGCCTGGCAGGACGGCCAGGTGCCAGGATTGAGCCTTGCTAGAGACACTCAAAAATCAGGCCTGAGAGTGTTTCTGTGACATTTGGAGAAGATTACATGTGGATCGGCTGCTGGATGGTGTGAGGGGGGAGCCGTTTCATCCCCCATGTACTCACGGTGTTGTGGTTGTAAACAGTGCTGTTAAGAGAGCCAGGCCGGGGTATGGGCGTCAGGTAGTGCAGGGTTTGAAAGGAGCCCCCAGAGGGCTCAGGAGAGAACACACGTATGTTTGTGTGTGCACCAGACATTTGGCAAATGCTAAATTTGCCTGGCAGTGTTGGCGCACGTCTTTAATCCCAGCACTCTGGAATTAGAGGCAGGTGGATCTCTATGAGTTCGAGGCCAGCCTGGTCTACAAGAGCTAGTTCCAAGACTGGCTCCAAAGCTACTGAGAAACCCTGTCTCGAAAAACTAGAAAAAAAGAAAAAAGAACAAAGCAAATCTAGATACTCTTAGTCAGATGTTTATTGCTATAGCTTCAACTCTTCAGAGTTGTTCATAAGAAAGCTGGAGAGCCAGGGGTGTCGCCTTACACCTGTAATCCCAGGATCTGGAAGACTGAGCCAGGAAAACGAGGAGATCAAGGCCAACCTTGGCTCCATAGCCAGTGTGAAGTCAGCCTAGGGTACCTGAGCGAGGCTGTCTCGGAGGTACTGCATGTGGTGTGAAGTCAGCACTCTTTTGGTTTTGAAACCATGCTTGCTGTTTCCCTTTGATTTATTGATTAATATTAGGCTCTCCGGCTCCCCCGGGGAGACCCAGCTTAGCCATGCTCTTTGATGAGTCACTAGGGGCCATGATCCTGGAGTTGGCTTGAATTCCTGGGGAAGTTTCTACATAGCTCTTGCTTTTCCTCCTTGAGGGAAATTGCATCACCCAAGCCCTGTATGCCACATTCACGGCCATGTCTTTCTCTTCTAGGCCCTGCAGGTCGGACACCCTTGAGGACAGCCATCACCTGGCCCTGCTACCCCGTGCCTTGGTAAGTGAAGACAGTGTAGTGGGTTTCATGAGTTTGTTCCTGCAAGTCTGTGTGTTTGTCGTGGGCACAGCCTGGGTGTGAGTCCCCTGGGTGACATGGCCAGCTCCAGTTAGTAGAAGACCATCAGCCTTTGACCCCAAAGTACCCACAAATTAGATAGGGTTAGTGGGCCCACCGGAGCCCTGGGCATGGCCAGGCCTTAATACTCGTGCTGATTTTGACCAGCAGTACATGCTTCAATGTGCTCTATGGTCTACAGCTGTTTATCACTTGTCTGAGGAAGAAGCTGTGAAGGGCGAGGATGCTGGGCTGATATGGCTGCCAGGAGGCTCTCGCATGGCATCCCCTGGGCAGAATGGCCCCAGTAGCCCACCGGTCTCCTTGAGACCAGCTGACAGCCATCTGATAGCCAAGACCTGAGCATATGACCTGGGGGTCAGAGTTGCTTTCTGGAGGAAACAGGGACTAGTTTTGGTGGAAAACTGCCCTCCATAGCTGGGTCAGTCGGGAAGTGGGTTCTGTGCCACCAGACCTGAGAGCAAGAGCCCAGCTCTCTGTGTGACTGGGAGACATCACTCCCTGCTCCTGTGCCCTCTTCCTTTGGAGCTTCGTGTCATCCCCAGGGCCTGTTAGTGAAGGAGCTCGAGCCACAGACTCATCCTCAGTGGTCAAACCTGAATCAGGTGGCCGCCTGCTTTTCCTCCATGATCCAGGAGATATCTTCAGAACGGGTGCTGCTCCTGCAGCTGATTCCTTGGTCCAGACTGCAAGTTCATGGTTTAGGTCAGAGTTCCAGTTCTTGGAAGGCAGTGGGCAGGTAGTTTAACTTTCTGGGCCAAATTGTGGCCAAGGGTATGCTGAAGCCCACTATTTTATTTCCAACAACAAACACATTTGTCTAAGTAGGAGCCGGGTCTTTGTGATAACACACAGCTGTTATCCCAGTACTCGAGAGGTTGTGGCAGGAGCAGCATGGATCTTGGCCTGTGAGACTACAGAGTGAGACCCTGGCTTAAGCCCTCCCTCCCCCAAAATATAATTAGAACTACTGCAACCAAATTCTAGTCCCATACCTTTTCTGTTTATAGCTATGATCTCCTGAAAATAATTTCTAACCTCTCCTTTGTGCCCAAATCGAATGCTGGTCAGACAGGTGCCCACAGTAGCTCGGACTGGCTGGCGCTCTGGGCAGCCACGGGCAGCTCCTCCAGCTTCATATACACCCATGCACATATATTCCTGCTGTTTCTGCAAAGTAAACATTCCGCTTATACAGAGCCACATGGTTGTGGACCAGGACTTCTCACCAAAGGCATACAGATAACTCCAGTCAGGTCCCACCCAGACCAGTTGTGGGTGGGGCTGCAGGCTGTCCAGATGGGCCCGTGCTGGTGCTGTGACCCCTCTTGAGTCTGGGGACAGGGGCAGAGTCTGGCATAGTTGTGTAGAAAGTCAGTTGTGAGAGGCGCTGGGTATCCCTCACCATGGGGACAGGGACTCTGGTTCTGTCACATCTGAGGGCTGGGAAATGAGTTGGGAGAAGAGCCTCAGGCTGAGAACATTGCTGCTTCTCAAGTTGGATCTATAGCACAGTATCCGTGGTCAGCTCAATGTCCACAATGCACAGACCCCCAACTCTGAGTAAGAGCCAGGACAGGAACAGTCAGATGGCTGGGGCTTCATCCGTCCCCACTACCCATCACCATACTGAAATTTATGGCAACACATTTGTTTCCTACAACTGGTGTCTCTTGAAAGCTGTGCAAGGGCCAGTGACATCTCGTCAATGAGTCAAGGCACTTCCTGTAAAGCCTGACGACCTGAGTTTGATACAGGAAACTACATGGTGGAAGGAAAGAACCGGCTCCTGGATGTTGTCCTTTGACCTCCACATGCATGCTGTGACAGGCAACACCAAATAAATGTGTGTAAAATAATTAAAGAATTAAACAAACAAAGCTGTTCAGATAGCTAGTAAACACCCAAAGGGTGCATGCTCCAGGGACAGAGCCAGGGTGGGTGCTGGGATACCTGACATTCAGAGAGTCTTGGTGTGGGAGGAAGTTCTTTGAAGATCCGGGCCTCAGCGAGACTCTTCAGGGAGCGCTGGAGCCTTTACCGAACAGCGCAAAGTAATTGGCCAAAGGGGATTTGGTGCCAGCTGAATTAGCAGTTGGATGGGGGTGGGGGACAGGAGGTGGTGTGTGTGTGGTTACCCAGAGACACATACACAGGACTCCAGGAAGTGCAACCTGTCCCTAGCAGAGCCTTTCTGAGTCTATACCAGGGACAGTTACTTCCCAGCAAGGCCTAGCCATCAAGCTCAGGCTGTTTCCAGTCAGGTTGGGAAGGGGGCAGAAATCTCCAGAGGAGTGGAGCTTTCCAGAGGGGCTCTTCCTTGTGTCTCTTGGTGCAATAGGGAACAATTCTCATTTAAGCACTGCAGCCCAGGTGTGTTGCCCTTGTGACAAAGGTTGCAAGAAGGGAGCAGGTGCTGGGTGGATGCCGGAGGCCCAATGTTCCCTCTAGAAGCAGAAAAGGGGAGTTTGCTAAAGTCTGAGACCCCCACCCCCACCCCAACCACTGTACAGTGCCTGCATCTTGCTGTGCTGGGCAGGGATTATCTTTGTGTTCCCAAGGGTTGTGTGAGTGGAGCGCAAAGGGCACAGATGTCGCTGTCTAGTAATGGTAGACATCCTGCAAAGGGAAGCGCTTTTCCTGAAAGGAGAGATGAGTCTTATTAGTGCTGACTGAGTGGGCAGACTGACGCTGTGCAGACACAAAAGGTAGAAGCCTGATGTGTAAGCCAGTTAACTTTCTTCTCCACACTTAAGTTTTAATTATAGAAGTAGCATATGCTTGTAAAAATTGAACCAGAACCAAATATAATAAATAAAGCTATGTTCCTTACTCCATCTCGAAGCTCACTCTTCTGGGAGGATCCACAAGCCCGGAGTGGCTTGTAATTTATCTTCCAGAACTCACAAAAAGCTCCTAAGAACATACAAAGGGGCTAGGGCTATGCTGTTCGAGCACTAACCCAGCATGGACGAAGCCCTGGGCTTGATTCCCCAGCACTGCATAAAGCAGGCATGATGACCATGCCTGTAATCACAGTGCTCAGGATGCAGAGGCAGGGGTCAGGAGTTCAAGGTCATCCTCTGCTACACAGCAAGTTTGAGAACAGCCTGGACTTGGCCTAGGTTGTACCTTGCTTCAAACAAGCAAACAAAAATTAAAACAAACAAATAAACAAACCAGGAAATAGTTCTCACCTGAAGCTATGTGGGGCAGCCGCCAGAGCTGGTTTAACTTTCAGTGTGTACAGTCCCGCCTCCTTTAAAAGAGCCCTTCTTGTTTCACTAATGTCTTAACGTGTACACACTCTCACCAATGCCTGTTCCTGTGAACATACTCATGCACATAGCTGTGCGTTTCAGCCTCTGTGATGGCTCTGGGGTAGTTAACCCATGCCTGTGTTTAGAAAGCAGTGGAGAACTGGCACACACTCATCTTCCCATGATGGCCAACTGGGGCCAGCATCCACCTGTCCAGATAACTTGACAGCCCTGGGCCTCACTGCCCTGCAGGCTGCCCCAGTAGGGCTGCCTCCGTGGAAGTGAACTTTGCCTTCCCTGTAACGCAGAACTGCCTCTCTGCATCTGTTCCCCCAGCTGGTGCTGGTTGTAAGTTCTGAGGGTGACAAGTGGCTCTAGGAGGAGAGTGGTCTGGCCGTGAGGACTGCCTGTGTGCACCTTTCCAGCGCTAATGACCTGTGTGGATGGTCCATCAGCAGCACCTCCTCCTGCAGCAGCCCTCTGCGGGACACGCCAGATGCACCCGGCCTCCATCTCCTGTTTTTGTTCTCATGGTTGCTCTGATTGAGTGTTCTGAGTCTTGTCTCATGGCCACCATCTGCTCAGCTTTGCCCAGTCCCGTAGTGAAGTGAGCCAGTAAGATAACGCTGCATCCGAACCTGGGCTCTACAGCGCTCGCTCGCACACCCCGCTAGGCTGTGTGGTAAACTATGGAAGAGGACCGCTGCAGTGTGACCTGGTTGTCCTCATTGCCGTGGGCCGTGTCTTTCCCCTGGTCACTGGAGGGGTGTGTGGGCTGGAGTCAGGAGGAGAGTTTACAGGAACACAGGAACGTGGAGAAGTGTGTGGCCTCCAACACGGACGGTGAGGTTGGGCACGTGGCCACAGATGCTAGCATGTGAGTCCTCACGGCGTTTCTGCATCTCACTGTCTTCCTTGTCTCTCTGGAGGGAAGATAATTTTCCCTTCTGAGGAATGCTAGCTGTTGTGTGGGCCCTGGGAGAGGCTTGGGGGCTGAATGGAACCCTGAGGAGATGGGTTGTGTTCACGGGAGCATGGCACTCCACACCGAAGCCTTGTGGGATGCACTGTCTCTTAGACTGGCGTTGAGAACATCTCAGGTTTCCTGAGACAGTCCTGTCACCCACCAACACTGAAAACTCATGTATTTTCTTCCTCTGACCTCTGTTTAAGATGAGCTCTAGTAATCCCCCTGCCTCAGCGTCCTGGATGCTGAGGCTTCAGGCAAATGTAACCCGACCAGTTCTAACTTCCTGTCCTTCCTCACACAATTGCTGTGGATGGGCTCCAGAGCATGAGCCACAATGATAGGTGGCCTTCAGCCCTCTTGGGTTGACTTCAGACCTGCTCTTCCTAACATCTCATAATACTATCCTGTTATTTCTCTCCCTTTATCTTTTATTGTCAATAGTCACATTGATTGACTTTCTGTGGTTCACCTCCTGTGTCCTGGACAAAGCAGCTTTGATGGCATTTGGGTTTGTTGCATAAATCCGGGCTAATCTGCAGGCTGTCTTATCTACTCTTGAGTGAGATGGGCCTTTTCAAAGGGCCCCTCTCGTTCCTGGAACTTCCTGCATCTCCTGTTAGTAACGTGCTGGTTGAAGCAAGGTGCCAGAGCAGAAGTGTCAGCTCAGGTAACTTATCGTAATGCATACATCG